AATTGTATATACAATTTATATATAATTTCTTTTTTCAATTCAACCTGTGTCAAACAACAATCTTATCTTTAGGTTTATTTCAAACAACTCTGTTCCAAATGCCAAAAGAGTTTTAACCCCTATCGAGTAGAAGCAATCCAATGTCAGGTAAGCACATTCAATATTTTTACTTTTTTTATGATGCTTCTGTTTGTCAACATGAATCTTTGGATGGAATTAGCTATTGGCATGGGAGTGTTAAGTTTTCTGTATATTTGAAGTTTTACAATGAGGCATTTTAGAAAAAAGAAAGGCACAAATTCTAATTTGCTTTCTTGAAGGGAAAGATGGGGATGATTTGCTATTTTCAGTTCCCTTATGATGTGTTTGTATACAGTGTGTGTATTTTTCTTACACGACCCTATAATTTGAATGTAGTAATTTGATCAGTAACTGTTATTAAGCATTCATTATGTGCCAGAGTTTGAGCTAAGTGTTTTACATGCATTATATCCTATGTGATTTAACCTTTGGGTTTTTTTGTTTGTTTGTTTGTATTTTAGGGAAGGGTCTACAGGGTGTTCAGGGTCTCACTACTAGATCAGACTCATAGCGATTCTCCTGTTTACAGCCTTCTAACAGCTGGGATTACAGGCACTGCCACCACACTGAGTCTCAATTGCCATCTCAGGGCCAAGGAGACAGCTCAGTGGAATAAGTGCTTGGCAAACGTTCTGAGTTTGATCCCTGGTACCAGCACCCCCCACAACAAAACAAAACAAAACAAAACAAAACAAAACAAAACAAAACAAAACATCAATTGCTGTCTCAGTGTGCCCCTGGGGCAGGGGTGGGTCCAGCACTGCAGGCCCAGGGATCCTGTGCCTGCTTGCAGACACTTTAATCTGCTGAGCTATTTGGCCAGCCCTATTTAACCTTTGTGAAACGTGTTAGTTACATTTTGCAGATCAGAATGCTAAAATCAATAAAATGAGATAACTTGCCCTAGGTTAGACTGATAGTATTATCTCTGATAAATTAGAGATTTGAGAGCCAATTTGTGATTGGCTCTCCAATCTCTCCATTGTTCAGAAATCACAACAGATGAGATCTTAATTTCCAATGAAGTCTTTTTGCACTTTGGGGAGAAAGGGTGGGGAATCTTATCTTTTCAGAAAAATGCAGTACAATTAATCTTTTAATACAATTAATTTTTGAATTTAAGAAAAATTTAAAAGCTGGCTGGGGTAGCAGACACCTGTCGTCCTGGTTCTTTGGAAGGCAGAGGCAGGAGGATAGCCAGCTGCAGCCCAGCCTTAGCAATTTAGCAGGCCCCTGTCTCAAAATTAAAAAGTAGTAAAAGGGTGGGCAATGTAGGCCAGTGTCAAGACCCTGGGTTTCAAATGCAGTAGAGATATTCTTCGTTTAGCAACCTACCTGTTTATTGACTGTTCACATGGCACTCATGGGGCTTTGATGCAGGAATGTGAGTGGCAGTGTGTGTCTTCTACAGCACAGTATGTAATTTTTGCTGATCGTACTGTAAAGTCCTGTAGTCTTCTGTCTGTTACAGAATACAGTACTGGATGAAAGAGTTAAGCAAATAAAGATAAAGGCATCAGGTTGCAGTTTCCTTTGACCATTTCTTTGTTCTGAAGATTGTAATATACATACCATATACAGTTCTTCATATAGTGTTTAGTCAGTTAACAGCTTCGCTGCAGGACTGTAGCTTGTTTGTTAAACACAGAATGTCTGTACTGTATAACACAACAAAACTAAATCCTCCGGCTAAAAGTTTTTCCCTTTTTCTGTGGTTAGTAAATGATATTTTACAAACTAGTTTATCAATGACTTATTCTTCAGATTTTCTGGCCTGAGATTTTTAGCATTCTTGTGTTTAATATGTAATTGTGTTTAAATATATTTTTTGTTTTTCTTTTACTTTCTTTTATTTTGAGACACAGTCCTACTAAGTAACCCAGGCTAGCCTTGAATACACTATGTAGCTCAGACTGGCTTTGAACTAACTCGGTATGTAGCTCTGGCTGCCCTCAGGAATCCTCCTGCCTCAGCCTCAAGTTCTGGGATTACAGGTGCGCACCAGCATGCATAGCTATTTTCTGTTATTCTTTACTACCTTTTCTTATGTTCACTTGATTTTTTAAAAATTTTATTTATGTGTGTGTGTGTGTGTGGCCTGCTCAGCCCACCAGGGGGCGGGGCTGGCTGGCATGTGGTCCTGGGGATTGAACCGTGGTCCCTGATGCTTTGCTAAGCTTGTTCTAAGTAGGTGCTTTAGACCACTGAGCCATCTCACCAGCCCCTGTTCACTTGATTTTCAAAATTTCATTTTTCAGTCTGTTATCTTGGTATTCTTTTCTTTCTTTCTTTCTTTTTTTTTTTTTTTTTTTTTTTTTTTTTTGTGGAACTGGGGATTGAACTCAGGCCCTTGCGCTTGCCAAAGAAGTGCTTATTCCACTTAGCCATCTCCCCAGCCCCATTTGTTCTTTTCTTAATCATTCTTTAGTATTCTTCTAGTGGTTATAGAGTTTATAGTATGACTCCTTGACTTATGAAGGATTAAACAAATTTACCTTCAATGCAATGGCTTTAGAATACTTTAGTCACTTGATCATAGCTTATCTGCTTTCACTTTCTTGGAAGTGTATTTGGTACAGGGTCTTACTACACAGCTCAGACTTGTAGTGATCCTCCTGTCTTAGCCTCCCCAGTGCTGGGATTACAGGCATATGCCACCACACGGGGTCTTGGTGGCCAGCTCAGCACACCCAGCGGTGGGGCTGGTGCAGCATGTGGTGCCGGGGATCAAACCTCAGTCCCTGAGCTTGCCTAAGTGGGCACTTAGTCCACTGAGCTATCTCACAGGCCCTGCTTTCATTTTTGTATATTTTAATTTTACCTATAGCGTAAATGTTATATTGTTATTTTATTTAATCAACATTCATTTAGCTAACATACTTATCCTTTCGCTTGCCCTTGAGTCTCTCTTAGATCTCTTTTATATGGAATCACTTTCTTCTACTTGAAGAACACACTTTAGTATTTTTTTTGTAGTACAGTATGAAGGTGACAAATTCTATTTTTGTCTGGGTAGATCTTTTCTAGAGAGGTTTTTGCTGGACATAGAATTTGTAGTTCTTCCTGTTCTTTTCTTGGAATTCTGGCAGAGTCTCACTATGTAATCCAGCTTGAATTTTCTGGGTAGCTCAGGCTGGCAATGAACTCAATCCTCCTGCCTCAGTCTCTTGAAGGATGGGATTGCAAACATGTGACACCAGGCCTGGCCTTTCTTTCCTTTCAAGTTCTGTGCAGCTGGGTAATAGCCTCACTGGAGCTCCTTTGAAGTAGTCTTTCTCTTGCTCTCCTTCTTAAATCTGCTTGCTTTTTTGTTTTGGCCAGCTTAGGCCACCCTGAGGGTGGGGCTGGCATGGCATGTGGTACCAGGTATCAAACCACGGTGTCCTGTGCCTGCCTAAATTTGCCTAAGCAGGCACTTCAGACCACTGAGCTATCTCACTGGCACCTGCTTGCTTTTAAGATTTGGAAAGAATTACATTTGTGAACTGAAGTACCACTGTGTCTCTCTCTGCTTTGATTTTCTTTTTTTTTTTTTTTTTCACTGTTCCAGTGATGTGCCTGGTTGTGGCTTCTCTGTATTTATTCTGCATCTTGTATCTGTGGGGTGTTTTTTTGAATCATTGGCTCAGAGATTTTCATTATTTTTGGGTAATTATCACCCATTGCTTTTCCAAACAAGTATTTTTTTCTGCTCCTATTTTCCATCTCTCTCTTTGATGACTCATATTAGGCCTTTACCATAATCCTCACTCTGATGCTCTTTGTAAAATATATAGTCCATGCTCTTGGTCTTTTCTTTCCCATCAGGATATTATTTACTAGGCTGTTTTACATTTCTAATTATCATCTCAACTTGGTCCTATTTGCTATTAAGAATATTCAATAAATGATTAGTATCAGTTATATTTTTCTGTTCTAGAATATTTTGTTTTTAAAATCTTTGGACTATTAGTTTTATTTCCTTGAATTTGCACGAGTATTTTAAAATCTGTAAGACAATTCCGTTAGCTTAATCTGTTGTGCATCTATTGCTATCCTCTTGATTGTCAACTATGTTTTTCTGTCTCCTCATATAGCTCAAGCATCATTTATTAACAACTGTGAAAATTTGTAGCATAGAATAGTGTGTTCTTGTCTTCTCCAAGAGAAGATCTATTGGAGGCCCGGGAGGTAGCTTCAGTGGTACAGCTCCTGCCTGGCAAGCACAAGGTCCTGAGTTCAATTCCAGAGAGACAGACAGAGAGAGAGAGAAAGAATGAGTAAAGTCTGAGTTGTTAATGGTGCTCTAGTCTGGTGCATTCCTTAGCATCATCCATTTGTTAATCTAATTTTCCATTCCCTCTTGCATTTCATTTCTTTCAGAATTGGGAGGTAGTTTTACAAGCAGTATGTCTTGTAGTCTAACTTTGATGATAGGTACCCCCACTTTATGCAACAGAAAGCTAAATTCATGAAGATAAAATAACTCTCTGAAGTTAGTTGGATCATATTAGACCTGTGGTTGGATTCTCTGGCACTGCCAATATCTAGGCAATCACAGAATCAGATGAGAGTTTTAGTTTCCTACTAAGTCCTCTTGAATTGGGAAGGAGAGTCCCAAAAAAGTGAAGGAAAGCTATCTTTAACATTTTCAAAATAGTGCAATACAGTTGTTTTAATAATCAAAATGGGTTTTATTTTTAAGATAATCACAAGATGTCAGGCTTACTTCTATTTCTGAGTCTCTACTTTTAATGCTTTGATAATTTCCTTTCAGCAGTTATTTTTAGCTCAATTTTTCTAGCTGACCAGAAGGCTTGGTCAAAGTTCCTTAATTTATCCATGCCAGAAGCAGAAATCTATCTTAAAATAAACCATTACTTTATTGAACCTTTTCTTCCTTAAAAAGAAATTCTGCAAATTAAATGAATCTATCTATATAAAGTGCTTAGGACAGTGGTAAACAAATATACAACATATTAGCTGTTAGAATTTTCTGATAAAGACAAATGGAGACAGTGGAGAATGTTAATATTGTATAATGTTTGATGAGTCATATATAAGACTCTTGTTTGGACAATGAAAGAACCTGTTTTTTGTAGTGTGAAAAGATAAATCTTTTTTTTTTTTGAATACTTGTTTTTTTTATTTTTTTAAAATATTTATTTATTTTTTGTGTGTGCCCGGCCAGCTCAGCCCACCAGGGGGCGGGGCTGGCTGGCATGTGGTGCTGGGGGATTGAACCGCGGTCCCTGGGCTTTGCTAAGCTT